TCCAGGGCGGAAGAAAGCTCCAGGTTTGGAACTTAGTCGTCCTGCACTTGGGGTTTCCAGCTGTCCGAAGGCCTGGGGTTTCCAGCTGTCCGAAGGCCTAACGGAGCCAGACCGTGCCGCTTCCCAGGCTCACACAGGGTGGCCCCCCGACAGGACTTGGTGACACACAGACTGGGCACCAGACATCATGGGAAGGTCACGTTAAACCTGGGGCAATGCTCTTCCAGGTCCATCTGGCCTCTGCCTTGAACATCTCCACCATTTATTAACCTGCCTTTTCAACCAAGAGAAAGCCGGCCTCAGGCTTTTATTCACTCAGCGGCCAACAGCCTCCAGCTAGGATTGTGGTTTCCCAGGGACACTTTCCAATCTTCACATTTTTTAAGTTTAAAAGTGACTTTATCAGATAAGGAAAAACTAACAAAACATGGAGTTTAGTTCATGATAATGTATGGATATTGGTGCATTCCTTGTAACAAATGCTCCATAACATGTAAGATGTCAACAGTAAGGGGAGACAGTGAGAAACTGGAAACACGTTACATAGACTTCTCTGTACACTCTTAGTGACTTTTCTTTAAATCTAAATGATTCTGAAAGTGAAAGTTTCTTAAATATTTTAATGGACCTAGAAAATAAGTAATTCCATGTGGTTGTTTTGTTTTTTTAATCCTCACCTGAGGATATTTTTCCATTGGTATTTAGAGAGAGTGAGAGAGAGAGGGAAAGACAAAGAGAAATATCTATGTAAGAAAAACACATAGATTGGTTGCCTCCTGCAGGCGCCCCAACCAGGGCCTGGGTCGGGGAGGAGCCTGCAACCGAGATAGGAGATATGTACCCTTGACCAGAATCTAACCCGGGACCCTTCAGTCTGCAGGCTGACGCTCTATCCACTGAGCCAACTGGCTAGGGCCCAAGTTGTTGTTGTTTAATGTATATATGGAGAGAAACTCAGAGAGAAAGCACATGTGGCAGAAATATTAACAATTGGTGAATCTAGGGGAGAGGTATTTGGCTGTTGGTGGCGCTATTATCTCAACTTCCCAGCAGGTTCGAATTTATCCAAACAAAAACTAGCAGACAAAGGAAATTAAAGAGAAATATTGAGTACGGAAGAGCCCAGGTGGCAAATGAATTTGGCCAGGTGGTGGCTGAGCTGCTGGCACTTCAGGCGAAGAGGTGCCTGGCAACGAGGTGGATCTGTGATGACTCCGATGACCTCTCTAGTCCCTGTGTGGCCACACTCACCACCGTGGCCCCAAAGGCACACGCTTCCAAGCCACACGGCGTTTCTGACACTTCCAAACGATTTCCCATCTCTACCTGTGTTCCCTCATGAGGTGAGCAGGGCAGGAGTCATCGTCCCCCATGGCCAGGCTGGGTGTTTGGGACAGAGGTGAGTAGAGAGGAAGTGTCCCCATGTGGACAGGCGTGTCCGGCCATCTGCACGGCAGCCCAGGTGGTGAGTGCTGTCGTCAGAGCAGAGGGGAGGGGCCTCTGCCTTTGAGACTGGAGGGGAAGCCCCAGGGAAGTGTGTCACCAGGGAAGGATGAGGAAACAGAAAAGTTACGTGATCTTTCTAGAACACCTCTATTCTCAGGCCCTCGGGGGAAGGCCAGTCCCACCGCCCTTGCGGCCCTGTGGAGCCGGAGCCTCGCTGTCTAGTCCCACGCAGCCCCCCTCCCGTCTCCTGCTTGGGAAGGGGGTGCGGGAGGTGTGGAGTGCTTTTAACAGGAGGAACAGTCTCCAAAACCCACCCCACTTGGTACCATCCATCATTCTCTGCTACCCACCCTGTCAGCCCCCAGCACTGACAAGGCCGTAGTTTGCTGGATTCCTCCTGGAGATAAACATCTTGATCCATCCTTCCAGGCTTCTGCCACTGCACTCTCACCGGCCCACAGCCTCTGCCGCACCTCCGCTCATGCATCAGAGAGACGTGCGCTCTGGTGAGCTGGGGAGGCGTCTGGGATGACAGGCTCCAGCTCTGGCCTCGGCCGGCCGGGACCATAAACCTGGATTCAGCAGAGAAGGTACCTGCCCTGCAACCTTATCAGCTGGAGGGACTGTTAGAGGCCTCGTCCTGACCCCAAAGAAAATCCAGACACCGTCCACACTCCCTCGGGACCCTCCGGAGTCAGATACTTTCCGAACCAGCCCCAGTTAAGTAAATAGTTTCCTGCACGTGAATGCTCAGGGGGCTTCTCGGAGGACCTGACATTCTCCACTTGGTGACAGTCGTTTCCTTGCAAACATAACACTGAGCGCAATCTTCGCATTCCCGGAATGACTTCCCCGCTGAGGAATTCTGCGAGCCTCCTTCAGTTCAGGGCTGTGGCTCTGTTTAGTGCTTTGATGACAACACCCCCCACTCCCCCACCCCCCCGCTCCCGCTGAAATGCATCCTGTATAATTTGATAAGAGCCCTTTGCGCCCCCAGCCCATGCCTGTCTTCCTTCGCCACAAATTTCTAGGAAACTCTTCAAAATATGCGCGGCCTAAATTGGACCCTGATGCTGGGAGCACTAATGGGCGTCCCCTTCAAAGCGATTCTCTACAACTCAACCGCGTACGTGGGGCCGGAGACAATGGGCTGAAGCGCACAATTTATTTGTCTTGGCGGGTTTCATGCTGGTTGGAATCTGCTCTGGGGGGAAAACAAACCCTGCATATGTTTAGATTTATAATTTATACCAAAAGCACAAATACCTCGCAACAGGGCCAGAACGAGGCGCAGTCCAGAGCAGGAGCCCTGGGCATGGAGGCTGCCCTCTGTCGTGGACGTATTAAGAGAGATGACAAGCTGCTTCTCAGTAAAGCCCCTTCTTCTCCGGCCCCTCCCCAGGGAAACGTCTATGGCAGACGCTCCCAACGGCCCGACCCTTGTGCAAATGGCCTGCTACGGCTCCTTCCTCACTGTCTGGGGTGGTGACTGCCCTGTGCCCCGTCCAGAGGTTCCCACTGACCACCTCCCTCCATCTCACACAGCTGTCCTAGGTCCCCAAGCCAGAGCGCAGGAAACTTCAGGACAGGAAGGGGAAGTCACTTCCCCACAGTCCACAGCGAGCAATGGACAGGGCCAGGATTCTAACTCAGGGAGTCTTGTTCT